TATTGTAATTACTAAAAGGATTTCCGAATCCAGAACTAGACGCTGAACTTGAAGAACTACCTTCTTTAGCCGCAACAGTAAAATCTTGTTCAGAAGCAGCTCCAGTGGGTGTGGTGGAAGAACTCGATGAACCGGGGGAATTCGATGGAATATACTGACCAAATTGATTTGGCACACACGAGCTTGGGATTTGATTTTGGTATTGAGCCGGTATGTAACTATTGTAATTACTAAAAGGATTTCCGAATCCAGAACTAGACGCTGAACTTGAAGTACTTGTATCCCTAGCAACAACTGAAGGCTCTGGCGCAGATGCTGCTTTTTCAGTTCCAGAAGAAGTTTCCGTTTGAGTGTATGTAGATTCAGATGAGCCAGATACACCTCCTGATGAACTAGATGTAGCTTCCGATGATGTAGGTGCATTACTTCCACCTGATTGATATTGACTGACATATTCTTTGATTTTATTAAAAATTTCACCTTTCGGAGCGCCTCTAGCATTCCTGTGTGTCGGAATACCTAAAACATTTAATTCGATGCAATTAATATATCTACATAATAATAATAATAAAAGTTCCACTGTATTTAAAAATATATGACCTGCAAATCATCAAACAATATATATTGGAAATTTATAAGAATATTTTGCACAAACGACTAACAAAATGTAAGGAATTTGGAAATATTTTACTTTTTTATGAACATTTATTTTTTGCGTGTTTATAAAATTAGAAATAAAATGTAAACATTGTTTATAAATTACTAATACACATAACTAACATTACTAATACATATACATATGTTAACGTAAACAATAAAAAAAAAAAGATCTAATACTAGTAGCGAGTGTGCTACTAGTCGGTAGTTTTTATAATTTTCAAAATTTGATCTTAAATGCTTAAACAAAAAACTACTATATTACGCCCGACATTTTTTTTTTACCACAAAGTACAACTTATATTTATTATTAGTTGTTAAATCGTATTGAACCTCGTGCTAAATTTTCAAGAATTTCTGTTTGGCCAAACAATTTTATCCATATAATACCTACCGAATAAAAAATTAACCTAGTTTGAAAATGTAAATATCCACAAAAATACCAAAATGTTTTAAATATTTTACCACGTTTAAGTCCAATATAAGTACTCTAAAAAATCTAATGTCACTATGAATATTTTTAACCAAATTATAATAAAAGAACAAACGGACATATTATTCGCATGATAGATGGACCACTAAGGGGAAATTTAATGTATATCTGTATGCAACGATTAGTCATTACTATCGAAAAACAATCTGAGCGAAGTTGAGTTATACATGCTTTGTAAGGCCATAATATTTATAATTTGCAAATAATACTTTTTGTAAATTTTCCCGTTTTTCCTACGTTTCTTCCCATTATGAAAGTCCCTGGGAAAATTACCTTCTTAAAGTACCACCTGGATAAAATTTCCTTTCAGAAAAAAGTGCTACACTTGAAAATTGGAACAAGATATCTGTTAAAAAAATTGTTCACAGATAAAAAAAATAAAAAATGAATAATCATTGTAAAACCAATACATTTCTCGCTTCGTTCAGAATCTAAAATTAAATACTTATTCTCATTTTGTTTTATTAATAAAATTAGAATCAATTTTTTTTTAAAACAATTATTTCATATAAGAAAGACATGTTTTGATTTAAAATGTACACTTTTGTATTTGATTTTATTTTGAGCTAGATATCGAGATTCAGTATGTAAACCATTACAAATAGTCTTTACTATTGTCTAAATCTAAAATAATTTAAAATACTGTTTTTGAACAATGGTGGTGTATGGAGTTTTGTTAACTAAAATTATTGTATTTTTTAAAATGTTAGTTGAATCGGAAAATCTCCTAGGATTATTTAATTTAAAATAAAATATAGTAGGTACGATTAATATATTGAAATTATAGTTAACTGTGTTTGAATATTGTGTGATACCTACTTGTGTACCGTTATTATATTTTTAGGAAAAGACTTTACAATGATATGACATGAAAACAATCATACATAAAAAACTTAAACAACAATAATTACAAAAAACAGCAGATATTTTGAATTGCTGCAGTCGAAAGCAGCAATTCGACAAAAATGATAATGATAATAATAATTTTGTACTCACAATGCGAATGCTGCAGTAGAAGTGTCGCCATAGCGAAAAACACTAATGTAAATTTTATGTTCATTTTGAGCAATTCGGATACGACGAAAGAAAAATTATCTACTGTAAGTATACAAGTGCACGTCACTATATTAATATAATATAATGTGTTGGGTGCAAATTTTCTCGGATCGCAGACGGACGACTGATGTTTAGTGTTAACACGCGTTTCGGATTTATAAAGACCGGCAACTACTTAACCTCGTCCTCCACACCTTGAGGTTTTACCCCGGTAAAAATTAGCATATCCTAAATGCAACGACCCGCCCTGTTGACAAATTAAACTAATAATTATTACCAAAAAGTGATAATGTCCGATATGGAGACCCGAGGTTCGTTATCTGTATCCGCGTTCGACGCCATTGTGGTTTCGTTAATTCGTAGGAGTATTGTACTTTTAATTAGATATAAGTAACTACTTAGTTACTAAGTTACTCGGAAATTACAAATTAAAACGATACGGCCCCCTTGAGGAAACGATAAGTTGAACATTATTAACGAAAAACCAATTAATTAGCTGATGGTGCCAAAAGAGATGTGCGATTATTTTCATATGCCCAGGCACTGCAGCAGATTGAACGAATTTACTAGTGCCGGATCCAGTGGCGTGTTTACAGGGTAAGACGACTTGACCCGGACCTATCTAATTTTAAATAGAATGCCTTTTATTATAGCATTTAAAAATTAATATAGTTAAATGTATCAAATGTAGTTTAGTTATTAGTTATTAGTTATTACTAATAATTAAACCCGAGTATAGTCAGCTTACTATTTAAATACGCCACTATCTTGCAGCATTTCGAACCTAAATAGTTGGTGCGTTGAGAAATTTCTGTACTCTAAAGATAGCGAGAAACGTACCGTTTTTAATATAATATTTTGTGATTTTAGATTCTGAGTGGAACGAAGAAGCTTATGGTTTTACAATGATGTTTATTTTTTTTTATCTGTGAACAACTTATCTATCAGCAATTCTACTCTGATTTACAATGATAGCACTTTTTAATTATTAATTTAATAGTGTTTTTTTTTTTATCTTCCCAATAAATGGGAAAAACCGGGGAAAAACATAGGAAAACTGGGAGAACAGAAAAATAGGTAAAATGTTAAAAAAATATTATTAATTAAAATGTTTAATGTATAATATGCAATTATTTTATCATATTATGGCATATATATTATTGACAAAGCAACAGAATCAACTGAACTTCGCTCAGAATCGTTTTTTCGTTAGCAATGGCTAATCGTTGCTTATAGAGATATACATTAAATTTCCGTTTGTATCCTACTTCCAACTGCCCACCTACAATAGTGGCTTCACCCATCGCTATTATCCTAGGACAGCTTTTTCTTTTTTTTCTATCTGTAACTTTTTTTACAGAAAATTTGCCAATCAAAAGTTTAGTACTGAAACTTTACTGTATAAAATTTGGCTTAGTTAATGTATGTTGGAGAAGTCGTTTGTTTTTATTGTCCTTGTAGTTTTCTAAATAACTAATAACAAATTAGTTATTATTTATCACATCTGACCAACATAAAATCAAACGACTGGTACACCTATTATACAAGGTTTAAGTTGGTATACCCTTAGATAATTAATATTGAATTGGCCCTATAGGTTATTATTTTTGACCTTTGCTTGTAATTATGACTATATTTCAGTAAACAATAATAAGAATAATTAACTTGAGACTGCTAACAGAGTTTTAGTAAAGAAACGGGCATTTATTAAGGTGTATACCTTAGCACTTAACACTAGCATTTTACATTGACATTTTTCGTTATTCACTTTAATTATAATAATTATAACTTTAATTATAACTAATTATAACTTATTATTATTATATATGGTTATTAGTTTATTATCTTATCCTATCATAAGAAGAATAATAGAATAATATCCTCAACAAATATCTAACTGTGAAAAAAACTATGGAAAGTATCATATGTGTTTGTACCTAAATAAATACTTCAAAAAGGATTGTATCAAAATTAATATTTTTAATTTTATCTATACCATATGTGCTCTTCAAAAATCACTCCCCTCCTCCACCCGTTACCTTGGCCTGGATCCACTCCTAACACCATGAGTAGGTCATTGTATCTATTCAAACCTATATGAAATTTGAAAAGTATAGTATATAGGGTAATTTAATATAATAATGTATATACTAAAAACAACAATCAAAAAACTATTATGAGTGGAGTAGTATTATAGTATAGGATTAGTAGTTTTCCCTTATAGCCCATATAACGCAAAAATCAAATTCAGTTGCATCTAAGAGATAAAACTGTAACTGAGATACAAATCTGGAAAGGAAAAAAATTATATTGGAAATAATAATTTACGAATTAGGGTTGAATCGTTTAAATACAATACATATACGCGTAAAATAAAAAAATATATCTATGTATAAATTGAATCTATCTACTTCGGCATTACACCTATTTACACCAGCTGCTGCAGTTAGTAGGCATAACAAAATATGATTTACTTCAAATAGATATTCTTTATCACTAAATAATATAATGTAAAGGTTAAAATTGAGTAACGAAATAATCTAGTGTTCCATTATAGCTTATATGAATTGTAAAAAAAAAAAAAAAAACCTTATCAGTTTAACGCGTCTTAAATGTATATTTTAATTGCGGCGTTATTCAGTATAGGTATACCTATTATTTAAATTTGAATAGAATCCCGACGAGTTGTAGATAGCGCCTTCTAGTAGAATGTACCTAATGCAAATTTGTTACAATAATAATAAAAACAAAAAACTTCATTGCAATTAACGACTAGGTAAGTAGGTATCTGTGTTTTAAACTACTAGTTTATGTAAAACACGCAACGATATTATTTACTGGTTGATAAACACACACACTCACTTATAGCAACAGACAAATCGAGACACAAAACAATATACTTAATAATATTATGTACCTAACTACACAATGACATTGTCTGTGCATCCCAAATTTTATTTGATAAATTTTTTTATAAGGTTTTATTTAAATTTGTATAAAACGATAAAATAGATAATTTAAACGAATATAATAATATTATGCATTATGTTTTATTGATTGGTTTATTTGGTTATTCTATTGTTTTGAAGTTTAATTCGATAAACGTTCAGCTATAAATGAATAAAAACCATCGGCAAAGATTTAATAGAACCAATTTTTTTCTCTTTGTGTATCGAACACAAAATATAAGATAAGTAAGTTATAATACAACGTTCATTATGGTATCTCATCTTATAGTGGTTATCATTTTGAAATTTCGTTTACAAACTCGTAAAAGATTTTCACCTTATAGTTTCTATGTGTGCTCTACAAATAATCATATTCGTTTAAAACTTAGTAATATAGAATTGGTTTTATTATATTTTTTCCAGAGTTTTATGAAAAATGAATTCGAAATTAGCTGTAATTATTATGTTGGCTTATATCCGTATTTCTCAAAGTAAGTGTGTTAACATTTTTATCGTTATTGTCGAATTTTCCTCTGAAAACAGAGAATATTATTGCACTGAGTTGTGTCTATTTTCACATTTATCATTTTAGACACTTTTAGCGGTTCCCTTTGAATCAGACGAGCTCAAACTCAGGAATTAGATTTATTTTTAGGTTGATTATAATGGTAAAAATGGGCAATGTTTCACCGTATGTTTTTTTTTTTTGACTTCGAACACCCCTGCAGACTTGAAAATTAAGTTTTAATCAACCTAGTTAAGAAGTGTATCATTTCAGATTCGAAACGTAACAAAGTATCTATTGATTATACTATGTGGGTTTTTTCATGTCTGTAAACAACTTTTCGAAAAGAAAACTTGATCTGATACATTAAACTTAGTACTTTTTTCTAAAAAGAAATGGTATCTTATTGGCGTATTGAACAGGTCATTTTTTGATTTTCCAAGGGTTTTTCAAAATAATTGGGGAAAATTGGAAACAAAATTATAGATAAAACGGGAAATATTTCGGCACACCACAGCGTTACCGATTTATTTGTTTGATTTTCGATGCGGTTCGAAATAATTGGGGAAAATGTAAGGAAAACAAGAAAATTTAAGAAAATTATGCTTAACAAATAATAATTTTACTATTATTTGTATTCGGTAGGTTAAGCTCTGTGGATAAAATGTCAAACAGAAATGTTTGAAAATTTAACAGGAGGTTCATTTAAAGTTCTACTAGGTGGTCAAAAAAAAAAAAATTTGAGTGCAATATAGTATTTTTTTTTTTTTTTATAAGAGTTTTAATATTAAATTTTGATGAAAATCGTAAATATTATGGCCTTTTAAAACATGTAATCGAAATTGTTAACTTCTATAACTGTATGGTTAGCGAACCTTGCTCCGAATCGTTGTTCATTAGCAATGATTTATCGTTGCTTACAGCTATAAATTGAATAACTTTATTTATCCTACCTTCTCAACTTCCCACCTACAACAGTGGTACAGTATTAGCTTTTTCTTTTACTTAACGAATATTTTTTGTTTACTTGTAACTTGTTTTTACTTATGTAATTTCATTTAATCAAACCGATAAATTTTATTAATACGGCAACTTTTTCCAGCATAAGTGTACTCTACTACTTCTATCACACCCAGGCATTATTTATGCCCATTTATATCGTAAGAATTGAAAAAAAAAAACAATTCATCTAAATCGTGGACGGTATTTCGATCAATCGTCATAATGAAATTTAATGTTATACGGAACTGTTTTAGGTTCGGACGAGGATACGCGAGATCTAAAACCGGTCGTAAATAAAGTCATTGGATTGTTTCAATCAGTTTCCGGAGGAGGCGGTCCGAAACCCTCAGCCATATCGTCGGCAACTTACCAGATTGCTCCGGGGCCCGGAAGTTGGGAGGGATCGACCACTCTGATTTCACAACCTGACCTTTCCGAAAGTTTATTGACCACTCCGGCTATATTGGTTCCGGTCACTAAAGATCCAGCTCAGAGCACTGCGACACTACCGACGAGCTTCTGCAGTAGTTGTTTTTGCGATGTCCAAGAGTATTGCAATATTTAATTATGTCATGAATATAAACAATAAAAAAAAAGCGACTGTGTTTTAACGCTTGTATAATTATAAATTCAATAATTATATTTATTTATATTTTGTTCCACACAATTACAATAAACAACATGATTCGTTAAAAATATAATGTTATATCATGGTATTTAAGTACAATTGTATCTGAACAACGATTTTAATTTGTATCTAAAAAATAAATCCAATGATCCGAATAAAACCAATTCAATATTAGTTTACTATTCCTTCATATACCTACTTGAAGTATTTTTTTTTCATCACAATTTGTATCAAATTATTTCTTTAACGAATAAGTAATAAAATTAATCATTTTCTTTCTAACTTCCCGTTAATGGTAAAAACCTTCTAAAAATATCATAGGAGAATTTAAATTGAGCACTGGCAGTAAATTCAACCGAATGAATATCATTATTTTGCTTATCTTAAACTTTAAAATAATTTCCATCGCTTGATTCAACAATGCAAATATTTTTGAAGCATATTAACTTTGTAGTTTTCAAAATGATTTTTAAATAATAGTGTACATCTAATTACAACCTGTAATCAAATATTCAAATATGGACTAAGTAATTTAGACTAAATCAAATATTAAATTTAAAAAAGTAATAATAACAACCTTTTAACCGCGTAAACGGATATTCTGGTCAATATAAAAATAGTTAAAACTGTTTGGAACATAGTTTTTTTTTTTTTTGAAAAACTAGAAACTATACAATAATTATTTGCATATTTTATACCTACGCTTTACATTAAAATGATTGTTATACGTTTCATTGATTATTCAACGGAATAGGAACAGTTGTTGGTCCTCGCGAGAGCGGATTCGTCACTTTCCCAACAAATACTATGGTGTCCATTGTAATATCTTCTATTAGGAATAAAAAAGGTCTGTTAACTTCGAAAATGTCTTCAACCGATATACCAATTCGATGGTCCAATTCAACTTCTATGATTTAATTAAAACATTCGTCAATTTCACCTAAATTCAATATGATAGTTATTATCAATTATTTTATATCTAACCCGTAGCAGCGTGCGCGATACTTCCTTGCTCGTTTACTTCAAGTCCGGCTTTTTGAAGTACATTTGACACTATGAGATTGTTACCCATTGGCCCGATTCCTATGTTTTTTAAATCAGCTTTCACTCCGAACATATCAGTTATTCCCAACTATATCGAACATGATTAATATAATATTACAAACAATTAAAATATTCAATATTATTAAAAGTTTACATATTTACGAAGTATCAAAGTAAGATGCCAATATATAATGAAATTGAGTTCTAAACTAAAATATTTTAGTATTAAAAAAAACATAATGAGCACTCGAAAAACAGCTAACCTTTTGTAATATCGGCCCGAGAATCGACGTATACTCAAAATTGAATTTTGGCAACACAACTTTTATCATATATGACTGCATGGTTTTTATCGTGTCACCTAGTATCACTGGATTAATTTGATTGACTAAATCATTTAAACCGTCGATGTTATCCGGCAATATTATATACATCACAAATTTGTTACCCTGCAATACAAATAATATTAAAATTTTCATGAAAACTGTCGCAATGTTATTCAATATGCTGCAGTATACCTATGAGCATTATATTATGAAAATAATCACACATTTTACCTGATATGGCAAACAAATTAATCGAGAGTTAAGGCTAGGTAGGTTAGCTATTTTGAAACTATTCAAAGTAATCATCATTGATACGTTGACGGTCGATTCGGAATTCAGATAAAATACGCCTTCCTTGGTAAGCAATTTATCGAACGGATATGTCCAATAACCTTTAAAATATACTGCATTCAGTAAAACAAGAGCCGTATTTTCTTTGGTATCCGCTGAAATGAATACGAATATTATATTAATTGTTATTATAATATATTTATATTATATACGTACAGTGGCATCAGTGGCGTAATCATAAAGAGGGAGATCTGTATGTTTAAAACCCCTTGGCCTTTATTTTTTTTTAAAAGTATTATGTACATTACCCGTATTGACTACAACTTAAAATTGATTAAAACACATTTGCGGAATTCGATGTAAGTGGAGGGTCCAAGGAGGAGGGGTAATAGGAACATTTCCCACTCAAACATCATAGTGAAGTTGTATGTTTTGATTGACAATTTACCTTCTGTAAAATTGTTAAAAATTGTCTATCTCCTCTCAAGACAAATGATGCCACTGAGTGGTAACTTCATTTCAATTGTTGATGGACTGTGGGACATTTACCGAGTTCGCTGACTGATAGATATGAGTTATTTACCAAAAATAAAATAAAATATTGTCTCAATTTACTCAAATATCACCATATATTTAATAGGTATTAAAACTTTCATCATACTTACAAAGCAATAGTTACACATTTTCATGAAATTTAAGTTGAATATTTTGTATTGAAAGTCGTGAAAATTGGTCGGAAATAAGAATATCGAAATTTTCACTACGAATTACTATCATGTGAAAAAATGTATAAGAAACATTATTCGAAATTTTAACATTTTAAACCTAAAAACAAGAAACCAATTGAAATTTCGATTAAAACAAGTCTACACGTTAAAAGTTAGACTGGAACAAATAGTGAATTACGCCACTATTATAAACATAAGTATCTAAAATATCTTAAACTCAATTAGACGCGTTCCAAAAGAAAAACTCAGCAAAATATCTTGGAACGCACCTCGACTCACTTTTAAACTGAAAACACCACATCCGTCCGAAAAAAAATACAGATTAAAGAAAATATACGAAAGTCCTTTTGGTTAGTCTTATCCCACTCCAAGCTAACTATGGAAAACGAACGTCTACTTTATATGTATAGCTATTATGTAACCAATTTGGACTTGTGAAATTAAACTGGAAGGTTATGCCAGTAAGTCTAACATTGATGTAATACAATAATGTGAAAACATCGCCCTTTGAACCATCCCAGCAGCATACCGGTTTGAAAGAAACGATGTAATTCACCGCGATATGATGCTGTCTAGTACCTACAATAGCAGACGAAAACAAAAAGTTTGCTCGAAAACACTAGACGAGGCTAGATCACTATATTAATCTAATGTCCATCAAATTATTAGTATAATATTATACAATTCCAACGACTTAAACGTCTAAAACCATGTGATTTAGTTAAAAATTGAATTTTTAGATTAAGGGCAGAAGCCACTTCATTGAAAGTGTGAATTCATCAATTTGTATAGTATACATAATTATCTATTGTGTAAAATGTACATACACATTATTATACATATATCTAAAGCCTTAAAAGACCTTTGAGTAGTTTAAATAATAAAACCTCAGGGCATTTAGAAGAAACAAAAAATTATAGGTGTATGTATTGTTATTATACCTTCGGTTAACAATTGCTGAATATGTCCGTGGGTAATTTGTTTGGCCCAATTATTTATTGAAATTACAGCACTGTCGGGATTTCTAAAATCTACTATTTCGAAACTCGAGTTATACCACCTAATAATAGTTTCTAAAAACTGAGTATTAGGTTGAACGTGTTGATCCATAAACAATTTCGTACCCATATCCAATTCGTAATCGTTCGCATCGTGGCTCTATACAAAACAAGGTATAAAATAAAATAAATTAATAATTAATTTACAATAGGTATACAAATATATTTTAAACCAACATTTATCTATTAATTTATTTGTTATTTAAAATAATTTTAATATTTAAAAAAAAGTGTTGAACCAATATGTCCAATAAGTTGGTAAGCATTAATTATATAGTTTATACAGCTAATAAACTTCAAAAAAAAAACAATTATTTATATTTAAATTTCCAATGATATTAGCACGATAAATTATCATTATCAGATTAGATCACTCTGGTCATCATTCTTTCAATTTTATGTTGTGTATTTTTTTCAGGAAAACAAATTTATCGCTTGAAAATTCGTGAAATAAATTTACTTTTTATTACGTTGATCACCCTAATCAACATATCGTAAAACACTCATTATCTTGGAAAGTATTAACTTGTAAAAACAAACTCCAAAAAAAGTTGATACTTTCCGAAATAATGAGTGTCTTACGTGAAGTATATCACCCTGCATAAATACAATTTACCCCTCCCCTCATCATATTGAACAAATATAGTAGAACTTATAAGTATTGAACTGATTATCCAATTATCGATATTGGATACATCGGTATTTTCAAAAAAATCCACTTTTTGAAAAAAAAATTTATTTGAATTTTAGTTTTAAAAAAAAAAAAAATAATAATAATATAATTTTAACGTTTTACTTGTCCAAAATTTAATGAAATTAAATTTATATTAAAGACCCATTATAACTATTGTGTTCAAGAATGTACTGTTTAAGTGAATTTTTTTTTTTTTAATTAAACATAAAATTTATTTTAGGTAGTTCAAGGTTTCTTTAAGGTAATAAATTCTATTCTAATTGTACAATAATATGTACTTATTAAAATATACATTTTCATAAATCAACATATTATTAGATATAAAAAATACATGGGTATTAGTATATAGGCATGCCTAAACTTTAGATATAACGCAGTGAAATGCGTTTAATAAATTAACAATTCAATATGTATGTATTGTTTTATTCAAATTAATTTAGCTTGTATATTTGTCTAATTTTCCTTAAAAATGTAGTCTATACATTGTAATTTGTGTTTATCTTTTTTCCGCTACTTTTGGATACTTTTAGCGGCTCTCTCTGAATCAAATGAGTTTAAATTAGAGTTGTTTTATATGCGGGTTGAAGTAATAAAAGTTCAGTTGAATTTCGGTATTGATTTCACCGTTTTGTTTTGAGACAAGTGTATTTTAAGGCTTTGAATAAAGGTATGACATTTTTTGTAATATGTATCAAGAATACCCATTTCAGGGTTTTCAACTTTCAAGTTTTAACTCCCAAATTTTAGTAGAATTATATGTCCTACAAAATTATCATTCAGTGATCATAAGACCCAAAGTTGATTTTTAAAATCGAATAAATATATCAAATCACAATAAAAATTTACTTTTAAAGATTTTATCTTTTGCGAGTATCGATCTCTTGTCCACTGTTTGGAACCGTTAAATCCGACAACGCGTTCCAATTGTCTGGATGTGTTTCCTTGTGCTCCTTCGTAAAGCATCAAAAGCACCAGTTTCAGACTTATGGTAGATATGACTGAATTGGTTTTCTCGACTTCATGCAAAGCCTACTCATCAATCGGATCAATTCAATAATAACAATTAAAATTAACTTATTGGACACCTAATATTCGGATATTCTATTTACGAAAATATATAGGTAGTACTTTGCATAACCTCCAACTGAAAACATCGAAATCCGGCGCATTTTTATAGATTATTATAGGCGGTGGTAATTTTACGTTTCCAGAAGTACGAGTATTATGGACTTGTGTTGATTGATTAGCGAATACAGTCAAGATTGAACAAAAAATAACACAAATGAAATAATAATCTATAAAAAAAAAAAAAAAAAATAACAATGAAGTTAATAAAAACACGTCTTATACGTATAATATAATATAAGGATTGATTACAGATATTCAATAAGCTGAGAGAAGTTAACATTAATATTGATAAAAATATAATACACCCTTCTTACCTTGCATTGTTTCCGGTAGAGTATTTGTGAAATGTAAAATAAAAAGACAAAATATACGCAGAAGTATGTGCATACGTCGCGTAGAATGAAAAAACTATCAGATGCAAGTTACAATATTTGCGAATACCTCGCTAAGACAAATTAATCAACCTTGGTATATTTTATATCTTGGTTCGATAACTGGTTCTACGAGTTTGTTACAAAACGATTTTTTGAATTTATCTCTACCTTGAGGTGTAAATTATTAACAACAACACTATACAGATAAATATAGGAAATAATATTATTATATTATTCTTTGAGCAACTGGAACGAGGAAATTCCAATTACTGAAACGAAATGTACCGACTGTAAATTATAAATGTTTACAATCGTACTACACACATGCCACGTAAGCGTGTATAAAATATAATATCTATTGTTTTAAGCGGATAAGACACCGATGTTTTTGAAACATCAAAGTTTGAAAATAGATATTTTGAATCCAGCATGAAATATACATGAAATCGATAGGATCGCTTTTCCGTCCTTTTTTGCATTTTCTACACTATATCAATATGGTATACAATTTACGACTACGATAAGAATTTTATATTATTTAGAAATAAAGACAATATTGCTTTCAGTTATCGCACTAATTAATCGAATTTAATAATGCTATTTAACTTTTAAACTTTTCCAGTCATTATTTGTGCATCTCCGTGTCCGGATTTATTATTTTTTATTGTACTTATATGATAATATTGTAATATCTTAGTCAACCTTCTTTTTATTAAGGACGGAATTGGTATAAAAAATGATTATTAGGACGGAACTCAGATGCAGCCTGGTAAAATCAATCAGGTAAAGGCATTAGGCAACCAGTTAAACGAGCTTCCTGAAAGATAAGCCCTATTTTATATCCGTTATAATTTTCATAAATAAAATGAGGCCCTCCTATCCACTGCCACGATCTCGTCCGTCTTTTTTTTTCTTTTTTTTTTAATTTCAGTTGTATTTAATAAAAAAACAATCAATTTCATATGCAAAACACGGCAATCGCACACGTCATAATGTGATGTTCTCGTAACAGTAATATAATCGTTTACGCGACAAATGATAACGATAGTAAAATTAAACCAGCTTATTTCAAATACGTTTAATAGGTATACGGTTTATTTCGAAGCATATTTGCCGGTTAATTTATTATAATATATTCGTATACGAACGTAGTATTTGATAGTGTGCAATATATGTACTATATAGATTAAGATTATATTATGTTTTATAGGCACTTGGCGCATTCATAACGTTTACAAATGAAAAAACCTATATAATTACTCCAAATTTAGTGTTTTAAACATAGCTCTATTATCTCTACTCAGAGGCCTTTTTTTTTGGCCGTAAACTCTTTCATTGTCCTGAAATCTGCGTTACGCTGACATTCACAGGTTGGAAAATATATGTGTAGGTTTACTCAAAATCAATATCTATCAAAATGTATACAAATTTGTTATGACATCGCATTAGTGACGCGAGTCATGGGTGCAAGCACACCACATGCCGTTTCTTCGAAATTATATTTTGTATATTTTTAACGAATCGTTAAATTAATTTTTACAGTATTAATATAGGAATGCTGTTGAAAAAAAAATTAAAAATATTTTTCGGTAAAGAACTAGGTATTATGTCGTGAACATAATATTGCTCCTGGTGTAAAACAGTTATGCAACATGCATACACCGATAGGTTCACAACACAACAGCAGCACCTTACAGCGTACGTAACATAATACGAAAAATACGTTTGGTTGGATGACGATTTTACGATTTACGAATAGTATGGTAGCCAAAGCCTATAAGGGAGATTCAGTCTTAGCCTCCCTAATTACGGTAAAGTGGATAGTGCGATGTTTATTGGGTGGATATTTATAATGACAAGGCCGAGATTTTGCGGGGCGAACCCAAGTCCAATCTTCCTAGGAATAATAAGTGAGAGTAAGTAGAAGTTTCAGTGGTGTGATATATAATTTTGGAGGCTAAAATTTCGTCCTCTTTAGTGGTTTTTGTTTTAGCTGAGTGGAGAAGGGTGATAATCGGATCGCACGGACTCAATTCTTTTCCAGTTTGTTTTAGACATCATAATCAGATATCATCATAATTAGAGATCATATATAATTCTACGTTATAATATTTCAATATTTGCATAGAAATATTATTTCGAAAAAAAATAATTTCTTAAGTTTTCATTTTGTAAAATATAATATGTTTTAGGCTTCTAGTCGTAGATAATAAAGAATTTATTGTCTATGGTTCTAGCTAAAATATGTTCGATAAATTAATATTGAATATAGTCGTCCCTCGTCCCTGGGCAGTTAATTATTGGCTGACGCTCACTGGACACTGGTCATTGACTAAAATGTATTTAGTTCAGTCTTCAGTAGTGACGCCTCATCGCGGATAATTATCCACACGGAGCGCTGTGGTCGAATGACTAATTTTATGATATGACATTGACTACGATAACGGAATAACGGATATAGTGATTAGTGATAGTAAATAGTGATACTGTGTCTGATAGTAGTATACAATTTTAAAACTGAGCAAGTTTTTAATTTGTGTAATTATATTGTCCTTTTCATTAACCAGTTTTATATATTTGTATTATTGGAGAAACATTGTACCTACCCAATAATTACTCATAAGTAATTATACCAAGAAAAAAAAACCTGAATAATTATAGTAATATTGTAACGAAATAAATAAAATGCGTAACACTGAAAACAAAACAAACAATCATGGTAAAAAACAATCAAATTTGAAAACGATTATCCAAGTACGTAAGCATATAGGAACCAATTAATATTAATGTGTTTCAGGAGGAAATTACCACTCACGTTCCGTAGTCAAAGTAGAGTGTGGTCATAATATGGGAACAGCAGTCTGTGTTTCCACTGGCACAACCGGCGATTTATTCCTCACTTGTGCTCATGTCGTACAATATGTGTGTAAAAATAATATTGTTGTTTAGTCAAAAATAATTTCATTTGTCTTAATTTGGCAGAAAATTCAATTGGTAATACTGCGCTATGACGGATATGTGATTAGAGGTAAAGTGATATATGTCACACATAAAGACGACCCCAATGATATTGCTATAATTATCAGCGGACATAATGTGGCCAACATTATCCCTTGTAAAATTTCAAATAATATTCCATCAGCTGGTTGGTATAGCATAATATAGAATTTCCTGGATTGTTAATAACAATATTAGTCGTATACTATAGTATTTTACAGGACAAAAAGTGTTTGCAGTTGGATATGCTTGTGAAGAAAATGTACCCGCTATTGTTTTTGGAAACGTTCAAAAGTCAACATTGAATACAATAACAACTAGTTGTAATGTTCGTACAGGTTTTAGCGGAGGTCCAGTCTTCACAAGTGATGGACAAATGTTAGGTCTTACCATTGGAAAGTTGAGTTTGGGCATTGTACACTTTGTTTTACCATCTACAAAATTTATCAGTACTATAAAAAAACATATCCTCACTAACGGTATGTTATATTATTATTGAATATATAACCAAATATAATATACCTATTATACAGGATGATCAACATAATGTAAGACACTTATTATCTAGGAAATCATAAATTGTATAGACTTGGGTTTTTAAAATATTTAAGAAACAAGCAGTAAATTTGACATCAATATTTTAGGATATGAAGTTACTACCCACTTAATTTTTGAATAACAACCTATATTAAAAATTAATTCTATAAATAATTGAAATTTTAATTTTAAATAAATGTTGATTTAAACATTATTAATTTCCAATAACCCGTTGACAGTATATTCTGTTTGTAAGTATAGGTAGATTAAGACTTCTCCACTTTGTTCCTTTATCCACAAATTCCAAACTTAAAAGTCTCATTAATAAGGTTGATATAAATTAAAAATATCATCTCAAAATTTATTTAAACTAAAACTTCATCTATTTATGGAATTTTTAATACAGGTTGCTATTTCAAAATCAAAAGTGGATAGTGATTTCACACTAAATATAAGATTGACAAAAAATAAAGAGAATGTAAAATTTTAGAACTGCTTGTTTTTTAAATATTTCTTACATTTTCTAAAAATCAAATAAATTTTGAAAACATGCTTTTTATACTTTTTGAGAATATGAATGTTTTATGTTGTGTTGATCTATTGTTACCTCTAAATTTATTGATTAAAATTGGAAATATTATTATTTTTTTTTTTTCTAGATTTAAAAAACATTAATAATTTAGACTTCAAGTCTCCGTTGAAGAAAATGTTTTGGAACAAAGGGATTTCTCATAAAAATTTGATTTGTCACATTTAGTTTAAAGAATGTAATTATTATGATAGTTTCATCCCTTTTTCCACTTGATTGGCTATTATTTTTTAAAAAATAATGTTAAATAATTTGTATTAAATATTTTGAAAAACAAAAGATGATAAAAATATAGTAGTAATATGTTAATAATTAGATTAATATCTTGGTTTTATTTATTAAGTATATATTTAGTATTATGTTATTATACAGAGGTGGCCAAAAGTCGCGCAACGCCTACTGTCTTGTATGGAACGCGCGTTACGGCACAGTTTCTCCCTCCACGTCGTTTCCATTACGTCATATTGCAACTTTAGTCTCGTTATCTTGTTTACGATACCTTCTGTGGTAAGCGAATTATCTGGCAACAAGATGGAGCCCCATGCCATTATGCGGTTGTGGTTCGTGATTTTTTGAATAAAAACTTCAACGAGTGGATTGGTCGCCGTGGGACGATGGAATGGCCCCCAAGATCACCCGATCTCACACCTTGTGATTTTAGCATGCGGGGAGTTATCAAAGATCGAGTTTACAAGACGCCAATTCAAATCCATTTAAAAAAACGAATCGAGGAAGAATTCCAAATTTTGAGCACCAATTATTTGTATCTTTACAACGCCACAAACGTGGTAAAAAAACGTTGTGGAGCAGTTATTGAAGCTGGAGGACATCATTTTGAACATTTATTATAATTGCCGTGAGATGATATTACTTTGTAATGTTCATTTTTATATTATTTTTTTTTTTTATTTGAAGAAATAAATAATTTTTTTTACTATTACAAATTGTGTTGCAAATTTGTTGTTTGACTTTTTGCCACCTCTGTATAATTAATAATTTATTTTTACATTGAACTTTCACATATCTAATGAATAAAATCATAAAAAAAACAAGAGATAAAAAAATATTTTCAAATACGAGTATGCTATTTCAAGTCCATATTTTATCCCTTGGAATTTATACAGTAATGGTAAATCATATTATTATTATTATTACCTGTGTAAATTATCACCAATAAGTACGTATTAAGTACGGTTAAGTACCTATGTAAGTACTTAAAAAGTAACAACCAAGTAGGTACCTAAACTACAGGTTTTTTTAAAATATAAAATATAATTACTTTTAGCAATATTGTTTATGTATAATATTATGCCTAATTCGTGGGCTAGGTAATTGATAGTTTATTACTATTAGTAGCAGTGTTATTGTTTTTACAGTTGATGAGCAGGTACCTATGTAAAAGAAGCTACCTATATTACACGTTTAGTATTATGAAGACAGTAATAAATTGAAGTATATCTATGTATTGGCACAGCTTTAAATGTATCCATCAATTTCAAAGAACCATTTAAAAATGTGAGTATTTTTTTTTTTCAAATATAAACGCCAAATTTATGTGTAATAATGATATATTATTGATTGATGTGAGTTTTACTTTTAAGGGTAGGTATCTATAAAATAATTATTATTAGAAATGAGTTTATCATTCCCCAAAAAAAAAAAAAAAATGAAAAAATGTAGATTAATACTAATTTATGTGCCCTACAAGTAAATTTAAAAAAATTAAAATTTTATTTTTCTTATTATTATTAATAGAAATTGTTGGAGCTAAAGGACCAAAGTTTAACATTTCAGTTCTTAAATGAATGGTTTTAGGAAATTTTTTAAAAGCTAAAAATAATTAGTTAACCTACATAAGTATCATTACAAATTAATGATTTTTATTTTTCAATTATTCAGAAGTCTAAATTATTTCAAAATAATTACTATAGGTATCTATTTATATTTGTATAATGTTGTTCACTAAACTTAATATCAGCGAGTCTATTTTTATTTTTATTTTATTTTAGCTGAAAATCATTTTTTTGTGTTTCTGAGATTGTGTGTATTTTTCTAGTATTTAATCGCTTCAGTAAGACTCTAGTGTCTGACAACTTCTATAACACTACAGTATAAATTTTAAGGTTAGGTAATATAAATTACAATATTATATTAGAGTGGCTTTTTAATGAGTCATTGTTAAATTTCAGGCAATGTGCCCCAAAAGATGGTTACAAATAAAAAAAAAAAACTAGAGGGTTTTTTTTTTTATTTCAATATTAACCAGTGCCTCAAGCCACCTATTTTTTTTTCCATTTAATTAATATGGGGTTTTTATTGACTTTTCTTCATAATTATAGGGTGTTAGTAATAAACACAAGAAAAATATGAATGATGCTCGGTTCTCTTGAAAAATCTATGTACCTACTGTTTCAGAAAATTTTCCTAGGTTTAAAATTTTAAATAACAGATCCAATTTGTATGCTACCTAATTTAAAGAATTTTAAATTGTATGACCTGCAATATTTGATCGGCCATTTCGCATTTTAAAAATAGAAAAATGCCCTGAAATTCTAGGTGACTTGGTTGCTACCAAAGAGGTCACATAAATAATGATAGGTGGTAGAAATAACATCAATAAACCGACTAACGTGTTCAAAAATCCATTGGATTTTCGATTTAAAACAGGCGTTTCGAGTTTTTCATGGTTATGATAAATTTTGCTTTCAACTATTTCATTATGACTATTCATTTTTATAAATGACTTACATAAATCTTTAATACTTGCACATCTCTATCTATGCAAATTTAACAATTTATGAAAAGAAAATTAATAACTATCAATTATTAAAAGCATTTTGTTTTTTTTCACTTGCCATTTGCTTCATAGTAAACGGATAACGTTTGGTTAGCAACTAATTGTATATTATTGTATTACTCTATGTTACTTTACTTCGTATTAATATACTTTAGCGATTTTTATGGGAAATTTGAATTTGCTATCAGCTACATGCAACCTAAATATTATCTTCTAACGGTAATAATAACGAACAGAACCAACTCTTATTATTGTATAAAATAATATATCTACATTGAAATATAATTTTACTGACACAGAACTTGTATACCAGTGCGATTTTTTTGTCGAGACAACTCGTTAATTGCGGTACTAAGGTACGTGATAATTGCTAGTAGGTGTACCATGCAGACTACAGTGACTATTTAATATTTGTATGCATAAGAAACGATGCGATTATTGCTGCGTTTATTGGAAATTGTTCTTTGACCTAAGAATTAACTGCAAATTAGGTATACGTGTTTAACATATTTTAAAATACTCCGTTTGTGAATTTTGCGGGGACCAAAGCAAAAATGTTTAACAAATTATTCTCTTCCAAATTTTTCCCTATATTTATTTTCCTAAAATGATCAAGTGTCTCTTATCTATAGTACCTAGTGAGTCAGGTAATTTGTTTATTGTTAATATTTAGGCAGTTATCGTTTTTAATTAGGCGTATTAATAAATAAATGTATTAACTCTTGATATATTGTCGCATTTACATAATAATTGAATACGTTTTATCGACAATAAATAAAAATCAAATTATCCAATACAATTCATAAAACTATGATAATAAAATATTTATATGTTAATATTATTTAATACATAATGAGCCGGTAAAAGTAAAAAATGATGCATAGTAGCACCTATTATAAACTAAAAAAAATGCTTATATATATACATTTATAAATTATTTTTAGCACATATTTGCTTGTAAACGTAAATACCTACTTATCACCTTTAAAACAGGCGCGTATACAAAAAAAACTTTGGGGAAGGTTCATAAGTAAAAAAATTAACATTTTGAACTATAGAAATAGTATTAATGCGTTTTTAGAATTTCAGGGGGATGTTTGAACCAATATATTCATCCCCCCACCTTGTTTACGTCCTTGATTTAAGAATTTTTAATTAGATTTAAATATTCTGAAACAAAATTGTAAATACACAGAGCCACGAGTTCTAATAATGTTCGTTATATTTCGCAATCCGTTTTATAGCTATTTCTTTCAATAAAAACTTTTGCACTTTACCGGATCCTGTTTTAGGAAACTCGCCTTTTTCGATAAAGACGTATTTGGGGACCTTGAAATGAGAGATCTGAAAAAAATTAGTAAAAAATATGTACAGCTATTATAGAGTAAATAATAAGAAATATGAATACAATTATAATCGGAATGCAATTGCTAGTTATAAACTTCCTTGAATAAACCAACCTTCCCTTTGCAGTACGATTTTATGTCTGTTTCCGTGAGCGTCGAACCCTCTTTTACGATTACACTGGCACATACTTCTTCGCCCATCCTTTCATCGGGCACACCGTATACCTAAAAAATCCATAAATAGAATGAGAACAACATAATATGCACTTGCAATAAGTCGATCAAAGATGAAAAAAGTTAATTAGTTTTGTTAATCTTTACGATGACGTAGGGTCCACAGCTTACGAACAGATATTCATACATCGGGAACATGGTAGCTGGTAGGTACAAAAATACCAATGGTACTATGTACATTTTGGGTTCTGATCGAAGAGAGGAATGTATTGGTTTTACTATGTGTCTTTTTTTTATGCTTGTAAACTACTTTCTACCAAAAATCTTGCTACGATCATTAAGTATAATAGCATTTTTTATAAAAGTAAATTTTGTCCAGATAGTGCACTAAGGGGTCAATTTTTGATTTACTTTGTATTCGTCTTGATAGTTGGGAAAAACCGGGGAAATTCACTAAATAAGTAACGTCTTCCGTTAATAGGTTTGATTATTATTATTATTCGTTACGTAGCCAATCGGCTCTTTTCATTTTTCCATTGGTAATTTAATTTTTTTTTTTTTATTAGGTAACCCTTTTTTTCTTTGACAGTTTTAACTTAATTTATTATTTATATAGTCACTTGAACTTGTGTGATTAATGGATGTGACTCCAAAAAGTATTCGATATCTACAGGAAATATATTTTCGCCACCTCGAATAATCATATCTTTTGTTCTACCAACGACATTGCCGTAACCATTTTCATACAACATGAATTGGTCTCTACAACAAGAAAACAATAAACACAATAATATTATTTAAAGTTATCATCAATTATTATTTACCCCGTCTTAAGCCATTTAGTAGAGTCGATCGTTTCCTTTGTTTTTTCTTCGTCGTTGTAATACCCAATCATGTTCACATATCCGCGAATGAGCAATTCCCCCGGAGTACCGAAGGGTACCATTTCGCCGTTTAAATCAACCACTTTCGCCTATAAAAACACTTTATGTATTAATAATATTTCTCGTGATGATGTCAATACAATGCATACTGTTTTCTTAATTCATCTATGACTAATGGCACCATGCAATTATTTCTATTGGCTATTTCTTGTAATTCGATAGTTAAATATTGTTAAATCATTGAAACTAGTTATCGAATATCGCTTAAACTAAAAACACTATTAATCCAGCTATTAAATCGAAATATTGTAAAACATCGTATTCGAGAATCTATGTTAACTATTCAAGCTACCTATCTCTATAATGACATTGATTACAGATCACATGAAATATCTAATCAAATTAAATATAATGAAAGAGGGGCGAATATCACATGAAATGAAAACATTAAAGTTAGGAAAATATGTTATCAACATAAAATAAATGAGAAAACAAAACCGCCATTATCGGTGTGATCAGAAATGGATAAGGAACATATAGATTCTCACTATTTCAGTGGTCTGAATAAATGAGCATCAGTTTTAATGTAAAAAAGTTCCAACTTAGTTAAAATACAAGAGGATTACTATCGTTTATACGATAAATTATTTAAGTTTTATTAATTTACTGACCTCCACATGATCGTGTATTTGACCTACTGTCGACATAATTTGTTCATCCGTGTCATCGTGGTAGTTTTGAAAAGTAATTGGACTAGTTTCCGTCATCCCGAAAACCGACTTAAACGTCAGAATATATTTTTAAGAATTTTAATCGTTTAGCTCAGGAATAAAACATTTTAATTACATAATATATTATATCTTTGGTCCCATAGAAAAATGGTTCAAGTCAGATATGTATTTTTAAAATGTACTTAATTGTTTTGTATTAAAAACTATACAAAATTGACATAAACCTTTTTTCCTCGGGATCAAAGACATATTATTTAATAATATAGAGTGTGTACCACAAGTTTAGTGCCTGGAAACGTCTTTTTAAACTTTTTTATCAAAACGGGCGAACACGGAGCTCCACCGGTCATTGCATACTTCACTTTATTGTTTCTCTGTTCTGGAGGTAATTTTTCAAAAGCGGCAATAACGTCCACGAGTACCGTCGGGGTACCAAATATAAACGTACATCTATAATATAATCACAACATATATAAACTAAACAAATTTTAGTTTTCAATCTAAGCAAAAGATATATTATTATGCCTATACATTTTACTATATGATGGGTTGTCTTTAAGAAATCATTTCTACCGAGGCTCAATTAAATTGCTAAAATAATATTAATAACTGAAGATTGATGATGAGTAAATAAGTATATTGTAAAAAGTATATGAAATATATATTTTGCTCAGACAATTTCATAAATACTCGAACTTGTTTAATTTATAGTCAAAACGTTATTTACCTAATACCCAATATAAAACGGCCAAAACGGAATGGTTAATGTCAGTTGTTTGAATTTAGACTGTTCAAAGTGATTTTCAAAATTGAATGACTAATTATTCGAATAAATTACATAATTTTTATATAATTTTTGCAATTTGCATGAATTATATTCTAATATAGTATTGAACACATCGAAATGGTACTTGTACTATAGTAGTATATGCACTTAAAACGATGTACCTATACTAAAAATTGCCCAATAAAACTCAAGAAGTTAGTGTATAGAGTTAATTGGAACGGTTTTTTTTAAATTTTGTGAACTTTGACGTGCATTTACATAGATAGCCGGTAAAAATGTAGTCTAGAAAACGATTATTTCCGTTCAGAATAAATTTTGTTTGAATTTAACAATTTTATTGTCTGACATATTATATCATTTCCAAATGAAACCATCAAAAATGTTAACAATAACCATTATGCATATCCATATCCAACAATCAAAATATAAAATAAAATCAACTTTATATTTAAAATATATATGTTTATATGGTATATGTGTTTAATGTAAACATTAAGTATTTGCTATTATTAATATTCACTCAGTGGCACCAATCTCTACTCAATATCTCGGGGTAAAATATAATATAAACATATCCACCCGTCACAAAACCAAACAATTAATTGTTTTTAATACTATAATGCGTTGAGATGTTAAATGTTCATGCATTTATCCTAACCCACTCGCCCACCATCAAAAAGTGCTAGGGGATTTACCGCTGAGAATGATCAGCGTCACTATATTCACTTACTTGTCTTGAATAATAACATCGACTGCGGCTTTTGGTTCGAAATGCGCCGATGGAAAATATAATGTCGATTTAGTAATCAAAGTTCCAAGTATGCCGATGGATAAGCCAAAAGTATGAAACAACGGTGGCATACAGCAAAATGTATTTAAATTACCCTATTAAAAAATTATTATTTACTTACAAAGTTACAACATTGATAGTAAGATATAATAAGAACAATCAGGAATCAAAAAACACTTGTAAGCAGTAAAGTTCCCTCACTAAAGTCGAATTTTCCCTCACTTATTTTTTATTATAAAAATGTTTTTTGTAAAACAATAAATAACTAAAACAGTACAATGTTGTACTACTTTTAAAAAAACGTTGAGTGTACAAGTGGTAGGGACGGTAGTTCAAAGTCAAAATCTTCAAAAGGCACAATATTGTCACTTACGCAATGCATAATATACAAAATCACATTCCCTTGGTATTTCATTTGGGGGGGAGCTTAAAAAACACCCTCCCGTAACAGCATGTTGAAATTCATACTGCAATTAAATACTAGGCACTTAGATTCGCTTATAAAACAAACTCGAATTCCCATGTTTGAGCTAATTTAGTCCAAATGGAGTCCTAAGAAGTGTCTACTAATATCAATAAAAAGATATATATAGATTCAGTATACACTACAAAATGGTCATTAGTTTCTATTTTTGGGGAAAATTCGACAGAAAACCACAATTCGTTACTTATTGTAAAATATAATAATAACATGTAGATAATTTTTACTATTCACTAACATTTTCGTGAATTCCAAGACGTTTCATGATAAAATTGATGTTGTTTACCATCCCGAAATGATTTAATAGTGTTGCTTTTGGTTTACCAGTAGTGCCCTAAAACCGTAAAAAATGTTTATTTTTATAGTTGTATGTAAGTAATGGTACTGCATAATATTGTCTTATGGTATATTATCTGTAACCATTATACATGCATAATGTTAGGTGCCTACGCTGATATATTAACATTGACGACTATTTTTATATGGTCATTAAACTGTTCAAGTACTTATTTAGATAACAAATTAATATAATATATGCATACAAATTTACGAGCATAGAAATACTACCTAATAAAGACGATTCGTTTTATTATGATGTGTGCGATTTATTTTTTTTTAAATAGCTTTGAATTTCAAGAGAAGCATTATTTCTGAAAGAAAATGTTGTCTTACGGTTGCGTATGGTTGTTTTTTTTTATTTTTCTTGTACTCTTTTTAATAATTGGGAAACATTTAGGAAAAACGGGAAAATTTACAAAAATAACAGTTTCATTATTTTTGATTTTGTTTTTGTTGTAATTCGGTGAAAATAATCGAAAAGACCCGCAATGTTTATACAAGATGATTAATCTATCGTAAGACACTCATTATCTCGAAATGTATTAACTTTTTTTCGGAATCTGTTTTATAAAACGTTTAAGAATTAAATTAAAATTTTACATTTATGTTATTTTTTTTCACCCTTATTTTTGGTAGTAAAACTACCTACTTTGGATTTTCAAAAGGCAACCTATATTAAAAAACACATAAATTGACGTTGTATTAGTTAAAATACATTTTGGTTTTGAAATTTTGAATTTCCTTTAATTCGTTGACGAGATATTCCACTTTTAAGTTTAAGTCGGGGGAGAGTAGTAGTGGTGCATTATTAAAACGCCGTGCCGCTACACAAATGATGCTCATCTATCACTATAGATACCCGCACATCACAGGGATAGCACTACACAAATTAATAACAATATTTTTTTTTCGTCTGTGTTACCAAGGTAACCTATAAATCAACAAAAATAATTAGATTTTTGTACTAAAAATGCCTAAAAACCGAGTTTCAGAAAATAGAATTCAATATGGGGCGGATTTCAATAACTAAAAACTTTTTCCGGGCAACGTAGAACAACTTACCAAAGTTTAATGGGGGATCGGATGAATGGTGTAGCATAATGCATAAAGGACAAACTGCAGAGATACATTCTATTATACACATGTATAATAGATAGAAAAATAATGTTTGTGTGTTCCACCCTAAATATGATTTAGCTTAACTAATGGAAGACATGAATGAATAACCGGACAATAGACAGCTATAGTTAATATTATTTATAAGAAAATCATACACGGTAAATAGCATCGTAAAAATATCATTAAAACGCGGTTGAGCATTTATTCGATTCGGATCGGTAATGTGGTCAAATAAATGCACACTAATCAACGCCGGCCAGTCGTAAAATCTAACGTTCAATCAAAAATAATAAATGAATGTACCCACTTGATCAATTTTATATTAGATATGATTTTGTGTTTGTCTGTTAAACGGCTTTGTGCATATCAAAGAAATGTTTGCTATTGTAGCTGTACACTTTATAACATTAATATGAATACCTCTGTATTTCGTCTCCGTCACACTTGAGGATAGGTAAGTTTTTATTACTTGGCTAATTTTTAGAACTTAGTGATACAGTTTATGAAATAAGAAAAAATACGATTTAAACGTGAAACTTTAATATTTTACTATACTCTATTTGAATAGTGTAAAATGCGCTGTTTTACCGAAGTAAATTGAATGTTGCATCCTTCATCAGGTTGAATATTAGGGACGTCATAATTTCTATTCGAGCCCAAATCCAAAAACGATTCTAAATTATAAGCACCGCTGTAACAAAAATTACCAAATAAAGTTACTCAACGCTTATATTCATAATGATGATACCTACTCGTTTATAACTACTTTATTACTGTCGGCACTCAGGTTAAATCGATTAGAACAAAATTATCAGTTTAAAGTAAAATAATAATATCATAATAGCCGCTAACTTGATACGATTTTCGGAATTAAAAACAACCGTCTCTAAAAATGGCAACACTTTGGACTTGACTGGCGAGTTCGGGGGTCGTTTCCAAATGTCCTGGTCGATTCTTTCTATTATTTCGGGATAGTTTTGGGTTTTAAATGTTTCCAAGGCCACCAAACATTTGACTCCCACCAGGGTCAAACTGTGTTTCAACTCGTCACTCTGGTACGCGGGATTGATGTTAACCTATATAATTGCATAAATTAATTTTGATTTTACACCGTTATTAGGAGAAACAGTCATATATTTTTATTAAATAAAATACAAATATTAGTCCTAGACGAGACGCGGCGAGCACCAACGAAACATAAAGTGCGCAGTTTGGCATCCACACACCAATTCGTTCACCGCGTTTAAGGCCGATGGCATTGAAACTCCTGCACAGTTTGTCGACCTAGAAAAAAACAATTAGAATGCTAATTAATTTAATTTAATTCTCGCGTCAATGTCAATGTTTAACGACATATTGGACATTAAACTGATTACAATTGTGCCGAGACACCCGAAAGAAATTTAATGATTTATTTAAAAATCTACAGGCTAATATAGGATAAAATTATAAACGTTTGAAGAACCATTTTTTAAAGATTTCGTGAAAATTGTAAATTATTTTATACATATGTTAGGTTTTATTTATGGCCTCTCGGGGTCGTATTTTGTTTACAATAAGATATCGCGTTGCGTTCAGAATTAAAAATTAAACCTATACGAATTTTCTATATCTGCTAACCAGTAGCATTACCGCTATATTATAATCTATTTTACTGAGCCAAAAGAAATGAGGCCATTTTGATAAGTACATAATTATTGTGTAGTATAATAATATTTATTTTAATATTTATTGTACCTAAAAAACAAAATTTAACAATTAAAAGTAATTATTATTTCGGGGGCGCATAAAATATTGGAAAATATTTTGTCAGAACCGTGTTTTGTTGAAAAATAATTTTTACCCAATGACGATAACATGCAGTCCCAGAGTGCTTATGATGAAATTATGTTGAACAGTTCCGACAAAATACTCTCCGACAAATTATTTTTCCAAAAAAAAACTTTCTAACATAATATTTTTCCGAAAAAATAATATCCAACTATTTATTTTTCCGACAAAATACGGTTCCAAAAAACCCATTTCCGACAAAATACTTTTCAACAATTTATAGCCCTCCATTATTTCTACTTGGTTTACTCAGTAGTGCAAACGTGTAGACTATTATTTTATTAGCAATACATTTTCAATGTTGAATATTTTATTATATTTTTTATATTTTAATATGAATAATGGGAGGGGCTGAATATTCCAAGTCCCTTAGGCACGTCACTATACCAGCTGCTTATACCAATCCTATCGATATATCCTACCGATCCTAATCGAAAATGATGTTTGTGATGCCGTATTACATATATGCATAATATATTGACCTCGGAATCAATGGTGGCGTATGTGTACGTTTTGTTCTCGTGTCGGCTGACCAAATATTTTTGGTCGGGATTTTGGCGTACGGCGTCGTTGAAAATTCTTCCGATAGTATATGGTCTTAGCGGATCGATTGAAGCCCCATACAGATAACTGTGCTTGGACCGGTGACCGTTTTTCAAGACTAGGTCACTACTTTACAAAGAACAGATAAATAATTATTTTGAAAAAAAAAAAATCTAAAACTAAATATAAGTAACTAAATGTAACAAAAAGGTCGGTGAGAGGTTTTATACACTTAATTAACGACGTTATAAGATACTCAATCCAATATAAATAATAATCTGATACACAGTAAATTATATGTGTTAAATATACATATTAATATATTATATTATTGTTTTTATCGTACTTTCCATTTGCGAAGCCATCTCATAAAACCGTGCAAATCGAATTGCATAGTGTTATATTATTCCAGGCCAACATATTATCACGCAATGATATTCACTCTAGAGATTACATTTTGTATCCTACATTATGGTTTTGAAACGTTCTTAAAATTTTAGATGAAAATTGACTGGATATTATTATTATTAAAAAACATAAATTTATATTGACACAGCTGACAGGATATTGTTCCTAAAGTGGTGGAAAAAAATCGAATATTTAGTTTAAATGTGAATGTACATGAATAAACCAGTGAATCTGTTATTAGCATTATTGTATCGATAGTACTTACTAACGTAAAATTAAAATGTTCTTGCTTTTTCTGACTACTTGAGCCACTAGAACATGCACGTGCCAACCCAATATAATTTATGGAAAATATTATTTTATTTTAGTTACATTTTCCAAAAAAAAACAGAATTGTAATAAATCTATTATAATGCAGAGGTGGGCTTGCAAATGGAAATAAATGCAGACATTAAATTATATGGGATAGATGCACGATTTTACTTTTATAATGAATCTGAAAGTATTGTATTTACGAATGATTTATTTAAAAAATACACATAGAAGTACCTATTGTACGAATAAAAACATGCAAATAAATCAATATAGGTAGCATCAACAAACTTACGCGTCTCGACGTCTACTAAAAGCGCGTAATCCATTTATCTTTGTGATTTTTAAAAACGAGCTTGTCATTTTCCATATATTATAATATAATTTAGGTACGAGCTTCTTCTATCGCTCTGCTCAAAATTTAAATAAATAAATATCAAAGAGTCCCGACTGCCTGGTTCACTGCAGTAACACCGATCGCGTAGTTCACTGCAACCAACATCGAAGGCCAGGATGGGTCAGTGTGATACTGTATACACTAGTATATACGTTAATGTTTTTCTACTTAGCGTATATGCTTTCTTATCTTATCTAATCACGATTCGATTTATTAGTTATAACCATAGATATATAAAATATCTAGATAGCAAACTCGTATCTATATTATTGAAGGCAGACGCCATTTACAGGTTGGACAAAAACAATACTGAATTATTGATATTTAACGGTTGTTATTCTTATTATTACGTTGTGTCCATTATTATGAGATAATAAACATCAAATCGATATAAAAATCGATACTACTTCTATCGATGTCGATTATATCCTATTTTGCAATCGTTTTTGTCCCACCTGTAAATGGTTGACGACTTCAAATTGTTGTAAAGCTATACAGAGTTTGCTATCTAGTTATTTTATATACCTATCTATGATTATAATTCGAGTTTATCAAACGAATTGCCGGGTGTCATTCTGTGATTAATAATAGATACTTTGGCATTTTCACGAAGCGGCAAAACCTGCCGAGTTTTGGATAGAATACTACTATATTACTTGAACAATATTATTATACTCAACTGTAGAACATGTATAACAGTTTTACCTGAAAAATAGAAAATTATGTTTGGTATAGGCAAAGTTTTCTATTGCACCGTAATAATATTATATTATTAGATACTTATTAAACCTATTTTATTACCTTTATTATACCTATAAAAGTAATCCCGATGAAAAAACTTCTAGGTGACTCAGTGTGAAAACCGTTAAATAAAAAAAACCAAGGAGGCTATAAGTTGTGAATATCACTTGATGACAAATTATATTTTAAATTATTTCTGAAATACTTAACAGTTAATTCCCAATTTAGTCAATTTGTATAATTCAGATATTCGTATAGACGATTTATTTTGATAACGCTGAGTTTGAGTGCAGTAAATCCTCGCGAATTCATACAGGTAATCGTTTTCGTAGCAATCATTCTGCAAAGTTCAACATATTTTATCTGCTTATTCGTTCCATACAGGTTGTTGCGTATATATTAGTATTTTGAATTTTTTAAATTACCGTAATTATTTAAAACATATGACACAAATATATTATAAATCATATTTAGAATAGCCTACGCCAATAATTTTATGTTCGTCTTGCCTTTATACATAGAGGTCTAGACATTATTCCATATTACTAAAATGCACATATTATATCCATAATACGTATAAATTATAAACACTTAACCTACATTTATTTTATTTTGGAAACAATATTACATAGTACTAACAGTAATGGCTATTTTTCCCGACGCATATCGATTGGATTTATTGACTTCATTAGTCCATGTATTAGAATGAATATCGCATTATAATATTCACCTTAATCAAATTTCATTTTATAATTTTTATTGATTAAAAACAATAATTAATTGAAACGATTCGGGAGTGAGAAAAAAAAAATGCTTTTATTTTTTTGTTCACTCCATACTCCTTCGAGAAATATAAGTACCTATACCATTACCAGTCAAAAATTAATTATTAATTACAGGTGCGTTTGGTCAGATTATATTTACGATATTAGACGACTTCAAAACATTTTCAAACAATATTATACAGACACATCAATATATTATTATACAATTTTATTTTAACTCTTCGTATGTCTTATTTGCTTATGATTTACAAAAGACAAAAAAAAAAAAAATGCAATATTCTTGTATTGTTTTGTACAACATAATTTATAAAGGATAAACAAATAGATAGGTAGTATGTAAATATTATTATTTCGTTAATTATATAAAATACTAAAGTTATATAACAATATATCATTATAACTTACTGTAATATGATAAATAGATTTATAGCTAATATCGTCGATACTCTTACTTTTCATTTTATTTTTGATGAGTTTGTTGACCTACCTATTACTTCTTATCGCCATACGATAAATACATAAAAAAATAACATCATAATGATCTATATTTCAAATATTGCTGTAATACTTGGTATACTCATAATATGATATATCTAAAAAAATGCAACAGTTTAATAAATATACGCATTTACACTATACCAACTAAATATGATACCTATATAATTGTGATGATTTCTCTTAAATATATTTAATTAATTTAATATAAAAATGTATTATATAATTCGATACAAACGGAAATTATGAAAACTATTTTGGGGTATAGCTCGTATACGTGATATAGGACAAAAACACGAAAAGTATATATTACATAAAAAAAAAAAATAAATAATAATATGCCTACACAAAGAGAAATAAAAATATTAATAAGTTATACAGAATAATTTTGATAAATTGGTTAAGTTTTAAACCAACATTTTTGATTTTTCCAAAATATTTAAAATTGTCAAAAATAAAAACAAATGAAAATAATTACAATTTTAATAAACTGATTGATTTTTTAATCCAACTTTTTTCAAATAATTTACTCACTATGTAACACCTAGCATTTCTTTCATTTAATCTTTCAATTATGTCCTCGTGGGATGTATTCAATTTTGAGTTTGAAGGTGGAAAGTTCATCAATAAATATTTTTCACTTTCTAATTTTAGTAATACATCAATTACTATGCCGATAATGTGATTCAGCCGTGTGTTCATAAGATATCCTTAATTTGAATTTCATCCCAAATTTCTAGAGGAAATATATTATAATCAGTGTATGTCTCCAAAATGTAATCAGTACATTTCGAAATTGTTTGATCTTCAGGTGCGAATGAAATTAAATCAACAAAAGCAATGGATATTTCAGTGTACGAAAGAAAAGCCAAACAAAAAAAAGACTTCAACCGAATGCCTATTTCAGAGTTCTTTATACATTCATTTCAAATAGGTACCTAGGATTTTGGCATTTTTTTTTGTACGATACGATTCATTTTTTCTTATCTCGTTTTGGCGCTGATATCTTTCACTGTTTGTCAACCTTACGAGGCGAATAGCCGCTTTTTAACCCAAACCTAAATCTGACTACTTCAAGGAGGATAGTATTCTAAATGTAAACCTAAACGACACTACGCGAAAAAAGCGTCGAAAAGCCTCGTGTGTATGAAAAATGCACGAAAAAAATCGGTTCATAGAATGTCAAATTCGAAACCGATACAATGTTAACTTATATTCGGGTTTTATACATGAAGATTATACGTACTTATTACTTACAAAAAAAAAAAACTTAGATAATATTCGAAAACGAATTGCACCGCTTTTGATATCCGTCATAGAATTTGTATGGTGTTTAATCTGGCAGAAAACAGACGGCGTGGCGAAAACTGTGACTATGTTGATATATTAAAACATAATATAATTTGCATGCATTTTTTCGCCGACGGTTTACGATAAAATATATTTTGTTTGCGGTGGTTTTATTTAAAATAAAAAAGTGTTATTACGCAATGAGCCAAAAAAAAAAAAGAAAAGTTTTACATGATAATAAATTGTCTGCCATCGATAATAATAATAATTATTATCATACAATATTTACCAAAGCGTGCGAGCGACGATGATGCGGTTAAACACGCGCCGTTATACCTATATTACCCATTATTGTCCGTAAAAAACGAAATAATAACTCCCTGTGTATCCTGTTAAAGCTTTTTTTTCTCTCTAATATATTAAAAAAAAAAATCGCTTTATATTTTATGGTTGGTTTATTTAAATAAATGACTGTAAAAAATATTACAAAATAACGTGTTTATATTATTTATTACCACGCACACGTAGATACAGGAAGCGCGGGGCTTTTTTTTTAAAATTTTCATCATGAACCGATTTGGTAGAAGGATAGAAGCATAAATTGGATTTGCTAGTTATACGCTGAAAATCGTTTGAATATTATATTATTATGGGTTCTCAAAAAAATACATTAAAACGGGGGGGGGAGAGAGAAACCACGACGAAATACGCGATCCCGCAGCAAGTTGACAATAATATTATATTTTAATTATTATTTCGTTCGCGATAATTAAACGGTTTCTCGGCGACCCATTATTTACCGAATGTAACAAATTGTATCTTACAGAAAACGTGCAAAATATAATTTTTGCAAAACCAACGAGCATCTAAATTTGAATTAACGACGTACCTACTATAATAATTAATTGTATAATACTGCGCAATACGTTTCAACGTTCGTTCGTAATCCGTTTCAACGCCAACTCTTTCAGTTTAAACTATTGCACTTTTCCGGCCCGTGGCACTGAATCATATTTAAAGGATGGTTATACCTCCTAGAATCGGTAGTTGAGTATAAAACATTGAACATTTTACAATTGATATAAGAAGCAGTAGACATAATATTGCAAACAGACCGGAAGTCTATTCCTACGCCGTGTACTATGAGATTCCATTAATAAAAATAGATAACTATTTGACTCTAACTAAAACCATAGCCATTTAATTAATAGTTTTGCGATAAATAACCTAAAATACCAAATACATTTCTAAATCTACAACAGCGACTACAGCTAAAAAATTAAAGTACCTATTTATGCATTAAAATATTCAGTGATGCAAAACTGTGAACATTATTCAGTAAATAATGTAATTTGTAAAAATATATAATATAATTTTATAGTTTAAGAAATTGGTATAGTCGGTGTTCGGATATTAGGTTTAATACCGTATAGTGGTAGATGGGTATAAGTTAATGCTTACTGCCACACATACAAAAAATCAGTTCGGCACCATTGTTTCCGGACGTCATCTTGGGGAGCTGGCCTTTTTCGATAAATATGTATTTGGATACCTTGAAATTAGCTATCTGAAAATAATAAAATATTCAAACGAAATCGTAAAACTAGCTGTTTCCCGGTAATAAATAGCTGTTGAATAGTATAGCCCTTTCTTTGCAGCGCGCTCTAATGTCATCATCCGTGATCGTCGAATCTTCTTTCATGACCATATTAACACACGCTTCTTATTCAAAAAATATTCGATCTCTACGGGAAATAGATTTGCGCCTCCTCGAATGATCATTTGTTTTATTCTACCAATGATATTACCGTAACCATCTTCGTACAAAACGAACTTGTCTCTATTATACGTTAACCGAAAAACCACAATGACATTGCATTAAAAGTTGATCGAATCTGTGATCAATAACAATTATTTGTATGTACCCCGTGTGAAGCCATTTCGTCGAATCGATCGTCTCCTTGGTTTTTTTTTATTACGTCGTTGTAATCACCATGAATGGTCACCTATTCACGAATGAATAATTCTCCCGGAGTACCGAATGGTACCATTTCGTCTTTTGAATTGATCACTTTAGCCTACAAGTGACTTCAAAAATTGACCTAAATTGTCACTCTCGGCGCTGCTTTCAACGTAACTTAAGTATTTATATAAAATAATTAACGGATATGATGCGAATTAATGAGCGGTACGTTAAACATAAGAATATTGTGATCGTAAAGATCAAAACTAATATTATAACTAAGATTGCAGTTATAATCTTCATGATTATTGTTTACTCGATAATACGTTGTGTATATTATTTTGCATTTTTATACAGCTCTACTCATATATAAATCAAGTCGATTTTATTTTTCACATTAATCTGCATTTCTATTAATAAATTATAAAAAAAAAACTCGTTTTATAAAAGAAAAAAAAATACGTGATATAATACTATAATAAATCTATTTTATTGAAAAATACAATTTAGTTGATTTGTAGTATTTGATTATAAGTTCGTTTTACGGTAATATAAGTAAGTTTTTATAAATAAATGTAAGTAATTGAACCATTACTGTAAATTTATTTACATTATTCTTTTTGACCACCCGTCAAAAATGTTTACCCGCCCCATTGTCTTAAACTAATGGATTAATTAATTAATATCTAAAGCGCTTAATATTTAGCTCAACTATGCCAATCTAAATTATTAATCATTTATAAACTATAATAAATGTTTATATTTCGTAAAATGAGCTGTTTTCCGACCCGAAAACAATATAGCAAATTAAATATTTAAACAAATTAAAAGTTAGTTAAGGAGTGAGTGAAATATTAAAAAAAAATGTGTATAAAGATAATGTTATTCATTAGCCTAGGGGTATGATGGGTAATACATGAACTCCAAAATACGTCTACAACTCAGAACTTTTTTTCTTTATTGCAATAATTTGTTACATCCAGGGGCGGATTAGGTAACCGGGAATTCGGGGATATTTCCGGTGGACTGCTTCTTCAAATAACTAATTTAAAAAGTATTTTACGCCAAAAAATTATGCTGAAATATCTATATATTTTTTTACTCGTGGTTACCCGAGTCGAAATAGTTATTGGTTTGTTTACATTTCTGCATTTCTGGGCAAATATCACGGTAGTTGACTGTTGAGTTGTTTTATTTATCTATGGTATATTCATTGAACTCTATATGATAAGGTTAACCTAACCTGATAAATATAAAATATATATTTACAGGGTGATTTTTTAATCATGAACTAGCAATAATCTTGGAGGATTTTAAGTGAATTTGATTGTTTTTTCTGATCATTATGGAATTGTTTGAACTTTATTTTAAAATCATTTTTGATTCTAAGTGGATCAAAGAAACTTATGGTTTTACAAAGATGTTTATTTTTTTTCTGGACAACTGTTTTACTAGAAATCTTGCTTCAATTTACAAAGATAACACGTTTTCCAAAATAAAATCTTACTGTAGAAGTACTTTAAGGAGATAATATTTTGATTTTCCTCAAGAGTTTTCTCAATAAACAGGAAAAATAATACATGTTGAATAAAATTCAGTATTTGATAAATTAATAAGTGGGTCAGTACTTTTGTATTTTCCAGGGCTGAAATCTCTCTCCCATCCACCCCTGGTCTTGTAAAAATGTAATAACGGAGGGCGATAACGAACTCAATAAGATTAAGAACAGTGGACACCTATTAAAGTGGATTATTTTTAAAAACGGCAACAACATTATTTAATTTATATAAAAAATGGCTCGTGATGTAACGTGGCTTATAACATGATGGTATATTGTGCCGCATTGCGTTACGCTGCACCTAAACTAAAAAAACTGATGGCCACAAGCTACCTATAAATACTATACATTTTAGACCGAAATAAAAAGTAAAATATACAAAATACAGAAAAAGAAAAACAGTTTTATATCAAATGGACTTTGTAATTTTTATCAATCAACTAAGTAGTCATTAGATATAAAAATACAAAATATATAATCGAATATTTTTAAACCATGCTTAACTTCGTTGAGATTTTATCCAACGACTTTATAGGTCAGTTTACATATCTAAGTACTCAAATTAAGAACTCGTTAACGTATAGAATTTAAATAGTGTTTCTATTTAATTTCATTAAATAAATTAAAATACTAAATTAACAGTTAAATAAAAATGTTCAATTGTATTCATCATTGTATAATAAATGGGAATAGAGATTGAAATAGTAATGTATATTTAAAATAAATCGTACTATAGTCAAGTTTCTAATCTACCGAATACTTATATAGTATGATAAAAGAAAGCAATATTTATTTACGATATATAGAATATAATATTTTAGGTGAATGTGTTTATTACTGATATTATTATACCATTGATAATAATATAATATTTTTGGTAGGTATAAAATAATCTACAGAGTGTCCATTGTCCAACGGAGATATACCCATTGTAATATTTCCGTAGATAAAAAAAGTAATTAAATTCTATTGTTTATTTTTTTTTATACATAAAATTCATGGCGATAAGGACTACACATATTTATATTTCAATTAATTTTTAATTTATTGTTGAAATTCATTCCGTTAGCCATAATAATAATATTAATAATTCGATTACAGCCTCTTGAACTTTAAAACAATTATTAAAAATGACGAATTGAATGAAAAAGAAAAAGTTGAAACATCCATATTTTCAGAAGAATAAACTCTATAAAATGGTTGTCTTCAAATTTTATGAAGATAGTAGAATAAAAAGTTTAAATTAAATAAAATTTTTACATTAGAGTTACGTGTAAAAATTTCAAATAGTCCTGATACACTCTGTACATAAAAAAAAACAAAATTTGATTGTCTTTATCATTTCAGGAAATATTGCAATTAGTACA